TAGAGGCAGAGGTATGGACGTTTGTGTGTGTGTGTTTTGTCTGTGTTGGTGGTGTAGTCAACTGCTACTGCTGTTACTGTGTGGTACTCAGTGCTGTCTCTATTTCTATCTCTGTGTGTGTATATATGTACATATGGGCAATAATGATTGCTCTAACATGCAAGGATACACTTAGGCTCATTGGTATTCTTCTGTACTGCGTCCCCTCTCACTGTAGGTGAGGCAATGATGAAGCGAATAACACTCCTGCGCCCTGTGTATATTCTTGGCACTGCCATGTGCATTTCTCTGTTTCTCTTCACTGTGGCGATAATGTACACTAGTGGCATCATTCCTTTTATGGACTTCATTATAAAAGACACGACGAAACTACACATGGTTCACAACAGTACACCTGTTCCCTTGCCTGAGAACACATCCTCCCTTGATGAGTCTCTGCGCTACATTCCACACAGTACCATACAGAAATGGAAGGAGAGGGACTACCTCATTGTGTTGGGCATCCCATCTCTGGATATTGATGAGAGACGTACAGCTAGGAAGATGCAGCGGACTACATGCTGGCAGTTCCCCGGTGTTGCACGGAGGGCGAATAACTTCACTGGGGCCATGTTGGTGTTGTATGTACTTGCACGGCAGCCTTTTCTTAGCTATAGGTATTCTGAGTCACTACTGAAGGAAGTGGCAGAGTATCATGATATCATTACACTCTCGATGAATGAGGGTGTTCCGTCNCCTTTTCTTAGCTATAGGTATTCTGAGTCACTACTGAAGGAAGTGGCAGAGTATCATGATATCATTACACTCTCGATGAATGAGGGTGTTCCGTCTGCAAATAGAACTGTTGGTTCCAATAAGAGTTGGGGAATGGATGTTTCTGTTGCTCTGTGTCGAAAGGTTTTCTACTGGTTTGAGATTGCACTTCGTGTCTTTCCAAATACAAACTATATTGCTAAGGGTGATGATGACATGTTTCTTCTTGTCCCACAGTATCTTGCTGACCTCTATATTTTACCGCAACGTAGATTGTACTGGGGTTTTCTGGGTAAAGACATTATAAAGAATGGCAGTGAGTGGAGTTGGTACCGTCGTGCTTGGGGTCCACTTTACACACTTGCGAAGGATGTTGCTATTCACCTTGTCTCACATATGCCGTTAAGACGTTTGATTAATATTCCGTATGAAAAAGATCGAGAGGCTGAATTTCTATCGTTAAATATGGAAAATGAAGATACCATGGTGGGTCGTGTACTGTATGAATCACTAAAGTTTGCTGGTTACAAAGAAAATGTTTTTTTTGTGAGTGAGGGACCGTGCACCTTCCGTGATATTGGTTCCCATTCCCGTCCTTTTAATCTTTCTTTTACTTTTGTAATGTTACATCATTTGTGGGAGGCTGATTATATTGAGTTGATGAATCTGTTTGGAAATATTACTAAAGCCCGTCCAAGGCGTCGTAGACGAATTCATGGACGACTTCATGGACGACTTCATTTAGGTTGTCGTTGACATCTTATTTAAATGCCTGATGGATTTTTTTTAAATCTTTAATGTTGCGTGGAAGGTACTTCTTCACTCATTTCTTTTCCTTTTTTTTTTACATCCTTTCTTTATGGTTTTTTTTTCACTCAATGGGTCGGATTCCAGCATCTATTTTTCTTTTCTTTTATTTTTTTTGCGTACATGAATCGCATGCATGTTAAAGAGATCTCTAATAATCTTTTAGGTGGTGTGGTATAGATTTCTCTTGTCTCTCTGAGTTGTTCTGGTGGCTAACTTCAATTTTCTTCATGGGAAGCTATAGTTATTACTATTTCTTGTGTTTGTACCTCTCCCCAGCAGCATTCATACAATGGGTGAAATATCTAGGAAAAAAAAAATAACTTCTGCTGATGCGCACCGCAGGACCTTCTCTGATGAAATGTTCCCCACAGCACGACACAGGCTGGCCTCCCACTGCTGTATGTTGTTTCTGTGGATATTAATCAACAACGTCTTCAGAGGATAACATCATCGGCCCATGACATCCACCGGTAATACTTGGTAAATGGACCTTGGCAGAACTTTTCGAGGGTCAAACTTGAGCAAAGGATAACCTTTCTGAGAATACATGTTATCAAATTATACTTTTAGTTTTTTTTTTTTGGTGGGTGTGGGGGGAGACATTCCACCTTCCAAATGAAATGTAGCTCTTTGGGAGGTCACCTTATTATTATTATTTTATTTTTTGATTTCTTTTGGCTTCCTTATATAAACTCAGATCCTTAACTCTGGTAACACAATAAGATGGTAAATCCTCACAACGTTTTCTACCTTTATTGAGATCATTTCTTTAGATGCCGATATTAGAAACGATATCTCTTCACTCTTCTTTTGTGTTTTGGGTATGTTGCTTTTTTATTTTTGGATACTGTGATGACTTTTGTGAAACATTTTGGCTCTTTCTCTTTTGTTTAATTTGGATTTGACTATACCTGGAGAAACAACTTAATCTTTTTTGTTTCGGTTTATGAGACGCAGGGCTATTACGATGGGTTTGTTGTGGTTTTACACTACATTTATTGATTTCTTTTCCACAATAACTATTTTAGTGATTTTTTTTTGATTTTTTTTACTCTTATGATTTCGTGACTCTGTGCCATTTCTTTATTCGAAGGGAATATATATTTCTTTATAAAGGACGCTCTTTCGCGGGGATTTCTACGTTTTTTTTTATTCATGTTGTATTATTTTTTTATATTGCAACCCTTCATTCCTCACAGTTAAAGTTATTACTCTTTTCACAGGACTATGTTAACACTATATTATTCGTTCTTCTAAGATATAACAATCTGGATGAATAACTTAATGTGCAGAGGTTGGATGGGAAGCACTATCCGTTTTAAATGTGGTGCTATGCTATACTTAGATACACTAACACTCCCACCTTCAGCACTTATACCAGTACAATATCCCGCTACCATTTTATTTGCTTAAATAATATTTCATACAATGTAAACATACATGCCCGTTGTTACTTATGTTACCGTATTTTTAAACATTTCTCCGTAATAGCACGTACACTAAGGATGAAGCGAATACGCCTTTCAAAACAATGTGGCCTTTTTTTCTCTGCCGCGGGTATTTCTCTCTTTCTCTTCATTGTGGCAATAATGTACACTAGTGGCATCACTCCTTTTATGGACTTCATTATTAAACGCACTGTGAAACTACACAGAGTTCACAACAGTACACCTGTTCCCTTGCCTAAGAACACATCCTCCCTTGATGAGTCTCTGCGCTACATTCCACACAGTACAGTACAGACATGGAAGGAGAGGGACTA